GGAGGGTGGAGGGAAGGTGGGGTAGAAGGAGGAACCGATTACAAGGATCTACATATAACCTCCTCCCTGGGGGATGGACAACAGAAAGGTGGGTGAGGGGAGACATCAGACAGTATAGGACATGACAAAATAATAATAATTTATAAATTATCAAGGTTTCCTGAGGGATGGAGGTTGGGGATGGAGGGGGAAAAATGAGGAGCTGATACCAAGGGCCCAAGAAGAAAGCAAATGTTTTGAGAATGAGGATGGCAATAAATGTACAAATGTGCTCGACACACTGGATGTATGTATGGGTTGTGATAAGAGTTGTATGAACCCCCGATAAAATGTTTTAAAAAAGAATTGCATCTTTGACTTAGCTAGTGCCCTTGAGAATTAGTGCCCGGACACTATCACAGGATACTCTGTGAGGCCAGTTAGAGGGGCTCAGCTTAGGGTCACTGCGATGGAAGATTTCTTGTTATGTCTTGACAAACTATATGATTCTCTCAACGAGGATTCTCCTAAATGGTATTATTTTGCCATCAGAAAATAGTCAAGGTTGACTCTTTAAAGTTTCCCCTGTCCGATCTACACTTGGAGAACAGGGTGTATTCTTGTTAGGTGCTGTGGAGTCCGTTCTAACGCATGGTCACCTTATTGTCCAGCAGAACAAAATGTTGCCCAGTCCTGAGTCATATCCACCCTCGTCAGGAGGCCTGGGTCCATTGTGGCAGTGAATGTGTCCACTGGCCTCCTTGGGAATTTCCTTCCTCTCACTCACCATCCACCCACCCCATGCCCTTTTCTAGTGACTGGTCTTTCCCTTTGACACAGTCAAATGAAGCAATTCGAAATGTCACCATCCTTCCCTCTAAGGACTTTGGTTGCATTTCTTCTGGTTGGATAATCATGATTATTAATGACATATGTAAATGCTGCTGGTTGGGAAACCAATGGGCGCCTTGCTATCCCTCTACCATGCACAAGAGAGAGTCCCCAAAAGAGCCATCACTTGTGGGTTAAAACTCTTTGCACAAGGGTGTCAGGCTCATCAGCTCCACCAGGGGAGACCAGGTGATTATGCCTGCTCACACAAGGTACCTGGGGATCGTGCCCCAAGGGGCAGGGAGTCCCATATAAGTCTGCAGTGATGGTTCTGCTGTGTGCTTCCTGAGAAAATATACTATTCCTACATACTCCCAGGACAACAGTGAGGCAGCAGAGAGCTCCCAGCCACCTGCCACACAGCAGCCACAGTCTGAGAGGCCCTGGGATACGAAGGAGGCACAGTAGCTGCTTTGTCAAGTAAGTGTACCCAGACCACAAGCAACAGGAGGATGGGCTCTGAGAAGGTCCCTTGGAATGGCTTCCAGAGATTGGGGACTTTCTGGCCAGTCCCACCCACCAGGACTCTAAGTGCCACATCCAAGACTCCTGCGCGGGTGGCAGAACTGTGAACTGCTCAGGGGAGTGACTGCTAGACCAGAGCCCTGGATCTTGGATCCTGGTTGCACATGAAAGTCTAGGTAAACGAAGTGTTGAGCCTGGGATGCTTGCCCCCTGGGGCTTCTGAAAATCAAATGGGATGTTAGACAGAGTGTACTTGCCTGCACGGTGGAAGGTGAATTGCAGCAAATAAATATCGTTTTCCTGCTTAGGGGTAAAGATGTGTGCGGGAGCTGTGAGAGAAGAAAGCAAAGGGTCTCCCCCACTGCCGGAGCCTGCCGACGAGTTGAATGGTCCTGAAAGGGGGAGTGAGGATTAAGGAAAGAAAGAGAGACAGAAAGTATTGGGAGGGCAACAGTGAATACTGAAGCCCCGAGTTTATTATACATCTTCCTTTTATACATGCAGAAACAACCCGTAGTTACAATTAGTCTACTATGACAATATATCAGAAACT